AAGGGGCAGAGATATCTAATTTTTTTTTCCTTCTTCCATTTCAGGCACGAATGACACTGAAGAAATTGGCTGTGTCCCCAAAATGGACCAACTACGGTCTTCGAATATTTGGCTACCTACATCCTTTCACTGATGGTGAGGGCTGTGAGGCTGCTGTGCTACTTCTCGTGTGTCTTCCCATCTGCTTCTCCCTCCTTTCTTGACACTGAAGAATAACGCTCTCATCCAGGCAAGCCGAGCATGAGGTCTCTCACGTAGGCAGCACTGCTAGCTGTGGATAACTGGCTGTTGTGTTGGCATGGATGAAACACATCTGTCACCATTATAGGCTGAAAAAGAAAAGCAGAGAATAAAAGAGATTTGAAGCATCAGATAAAAAACAATGCTGTCCTGAATACACAGCCCTGTGACATGCACATGAGCAAGAGCAGACCCTGAGCATTTCCTCTCTTTCTTGCATGCACAAGACTGCACATGACATCATTTATGTTTCTTCAGCTCCCCAGGTGCATGAATACCATCTGACCCCACATGACATCTGTATCACCCATCTACATGCTTCTGCCCAAAGCAGCCCACTAACACTCACCCATGTGCTCCTGGTCCCCAGCCCTTGATTGCCATCCCTGTAACACCGGCCAGAACAGCGAGACCCAAACACCTTTGTTTCCTTTTTGTAGCTCCACACATATATTCTTTGATAAACATTTTCTCACGCAAAACATTTGCTCTGGAAGAAAAAACTGGAGCCAAGGAGACTCTGCATGGCCTTAGCTCTCCAGGTTAAATTTCAGGCCAATGAAGCCAATGAGGAAGGGACAGTGAACCAGTTGCATACCAGTTTGGTATGAAATCATAGTAGTTAAGGCTTTCAGACAGGATCAGAGGAGGAGACTAATACCCAAAAGACAAGTATGGTTGCACAATATAGGAAAAAAGGGTGACAGTAACATATTGGAGGGTCTGAATCCATTCTGTGCATAGGCATCTGTCCCACTGCCCTACTTACTCCCTCAATCTCTTAACAGGGGAGTTTCAGTTTGCCATTGCTGCGGATGACAATGCTGAGTTCTGGCTGAGTCCAGATGAAAAGATCTCTGGTCTCCAGCTGCTGGCCAGTGTAGGCAAGGTACAGTGCATGCTGCATGGCTTCTTCCATCAAGGCTTTAATATTTCTGTGGGGACAGAAACCCTCTTATCTTATGTATTTCCTCAGCTGGCTGGAATTAGCAAGTCTCTTTACCAGCCCAACTATAGGCAACACCACCACAGATGCAGGACTGGTACAACATGACAGCTTAAGCCAGTCATGTATTGGCACTGCCATTGGGAATCCCAGGTTCATGGTTAAGGGACTTAAATATATCCTCAGCTTGTGGATGTCACAGACAATTTACCAAGAGGAATGGCTCAAGTTTTCCTCTTTTTTTTGCCCCAGCCCTAGCTGCACAGTAGCCAGGGAATAAATGAATCTTAACTAAACTGTTTGCTGTCTCTTCACAGACAGGGAAGGAGTGGACAGCACCAGGGGAGTTTGGAAAATTTCACAGCCAGCGGTCAAAGATGGTGAGGTGAGTGAGCAGACCCCTCACCCTCAGGCACCTCTGCACAGGCCTAGGAAAGTCAGAAGGTGAGAGAAAGAGAACTCACATTTGTTTTGAGGACCTGAAGCTAGAAAGAGGTTATTCTGGGGTATTGTCAAAGTGAAAGTGGCAGAGCCACACCTATACTAGCTGCGTTCTGAATCTGCTGCCGAGGGCAATATTGAATGTTTTTTTCCTTGGAGGAAGCAGCCATTAGCAAATCCAAGCTCCTCTCTAGGAACTGTTTCCAGAGCCTTCTCTCTTGGAACTGGCCAGGTTTCTCAGAGGTGAGGCTAACACGGAGAATTAACGGAGAAGAGTCCGAAGCATTGCAGGTGTGCAGGAGAAGCTATCCATCCAGCCATCAGCATCTGGATTTTCTTGGCAGCCCTAACCCTACCCACCCTGGGAATCAGGCTGTGTTTAATCTGAGCAGCTGCTCTACACCCTTTGTCTCCTGACATGCTAAAAAATGTTCTTTAACGCTCTTAGTGACAGACACACTTTTCTTCACAGGCTGTCAGCTTCAGGCAGGTACTATTTCGAGGTGCTGCACAAGCAAGATGACAAAGGAACAGACCATGTGGAAGTAGCAGTAAGTCTATGCAAATAGCCATGCAGTCTGTATGCCCCCTCAGAGCTTGGGAATGAAGTCTGTAATGATTTCCCTTCCTTCCCAGACCCTGGCTCCTCTTTGCATGACATGCATCTAGTTCTTTCCTGAGCATGCACCTCCCTCTATGTGGGATAATCCTCATTGTATCTGGACCATTTTCTATCCTTGTGATTCTGCTCTTGCTGTGCCATGACATGCATCTAGTTCTTTCCTGAGCCTGCACCTCCCTCACTGTGTCTGGACCATTTTCTATTCTTGTGATTCTGCTCTTGCTGTGCTGTGTCCTTTCCTGCTTTAGACAAGTCTCAGCTCTTTCCTAATCTCTTGCTGCTAGGTAGGCTCTTTCATAGTAAGGAAAAAGAGGAAGCTGTGAGCTCATCTGGTTAAAAACCAACTTGTGCCTGTTCCTTTTGCTCAGGCTCAATTAAATCATTTTTTTTTAAAGAAGGCAACTCACACTTCATTTTCGTTTATTTCTCTGTTCCAGTGGAGACTGAATGACCCAGAAGCAAAGTTCAAAGTCATTGACTCCCAATACCTCTCTCTTTTTGCTAGTAAGTATCTTCACCATAACTTTTCTTGAGCACCTTCCAATTAACACAGATGTTTCATGAATCATAGTCCAGCCAGGTGAACTATTGTGTGCAAACTATTAAAAGAAACACCTGGAGACAGGTTAGGAAAGAGAGCTCTGGACAAGAGTGTGGCTCACTGTTAAACATGGGAGAACTGGGAGAAAGTTTGGAACATTGTTTTAGGGAATTTTAGAGTTAGTGAGGCTGTGTACAGTCAGACATGGGCTGTGAGGAGAGGTTTGCAAGGGAAGCTGCTGCAGGTGTGAGAATAACACAGGATGGAGGTGCACAGCGTGAAGCTCATAACGTGCGGAGCACAGGAGTGTGCTGGCAGCTGGGCATGACGGGGAGAAGGGGCTGCTGGAGCACTCCTGGGATACAAAGGAGACTTTGCACTGGCTGCTGGACAGATGCATCCAGTGAAACCAGGGGATGCTGCTTTGTTCCATGCCTCTCTCGAGTCCCTGCAAGTCGCTATTGAGTCTGCCTTCCTGGATTTTGCAAGCACTACAGCCCAGTCCCTCCTGTTTTCTAAACCCTTCTTATCACATCAAGTGATACATTTACCCAGATTTGTAAGCCTGTCTTTCCGTACTTAATATTGGCAGTCTCACATGCCTCTGCCGATACTCCTCCTTTCCATATCTACTGCAACTACCTTCCAACTCCCCTGGGATTTTTTTTCCATGACAACACTTTTCCCTGTGGAAGATTCCCTGAGGTAATCTAGATAGCTGTCAGATTAGCCTCTCCTTTGGATATCAGCCTGTTGCTGTATTTTCTGAATCCTGACACTTGACCAGGACAAGGCCTTGACTTAGGTCTCTTAACCACTTTCTTTTCTCTCCCGCTCTTTTCTCCTAGTTAAGTCCCTGTAGAAGTGTGACTCACAGCCCAGAAGATCCCTCATGGCTGGCACAGTGCTCCAGATTCTTCTTCGTCTGGCACATTCTATCAGCCTCTATTCTTCTGTTACAGTGTTTCCCTCTTCCATGTCAGGCTCCCATTCCTTCTGGGGCCACCATGTTCTTCAGCACCCAGGAGCTGCCAACAGTAACCCCCATGCCCTTGGCAGCACATTGTCTTTACCTTCTGGACATTTATTCAGTACCCTTCACCTCAGAGCAAGATCCATGGAGGCATGAAATCCTCCCAGAGCCGCAGCAGATGTAGAACCAATGCTCTGTCCCTCATTTAAGCTTCCTTTTGCTCCTGGATAACTGTTGCTCTCCAATTCCTTGTGGGTATGCTAGTCTCCTAGACAAACATAACGATTCAGAGGTGTCCAGTAATTCCTGGCACCACAGAGTTTCTTCATCACATCTCTCACAAAGCAGCAGGTCATTTCCCTTTGGTAATCTCCCCACTCATCGCTGTGTTTACTTTCAGTGAAAGCCATGTTCCCACCTTGCAGCTTCTGTACTTTCAGGTTTGCAATAAGGCTCCTGATTAGCACCGTTTAAACATGACTATGACAGAGGCAATGTTAGATCCAAGAATGCAATAAAATTTAGAAAGGGTTGACGTGAGGCAAGGGAGCAAAGGATGAATTAGCCCTTCCTCCCCCTTCCATTCTCTCTCTGGTTTCTAGACGAGACGCTTTTGAAGATGGATGAAGTGGGGCACATCCCGCAGACGGCAGCCAGCCACGCGAGCCGGCCTGCTGTCAACGCGGGCAGCAAGGCACACCCAGCCGACATGTTGAAGCCTGACCCCCGGGACACTCTTTATAAAGGTATGACTTGCGAAGAAAATGAAGAGGTAGCTAAGCCATGTTATCGAAGTCCAAGCTCTTCTTCTTCCCTGCACAGAAGAGAGGAGCATCATACAAGGCCAGTCGGTACAGGAGAAGAAGCATAGACTAAGCCTGTCTCCTCTGCCTTGAGAGTACGACTCTCATGGTGTCCCCGGTCACAGAGCTGTAGTGTAAGTGCTGAAGAGCAGTGTAGACAGCTGAATTGTACGAGATGTTTTGCTTTCTGTATCTGGTAGCATATCAGATGGATAAATAGAAACCAGGCACAGAAGCAGCTAAGCTGTTGCATCATTTGCAGCAAGGTTTTTCTAGTAACGCTTGCCCACGTGTTTCTTCTCAGTGCCTCTGCTCAGCAAGTCGCGTCTGCGCCGCACCTTGACAGACTGCCCTTACAAGCCCAGCTACCTGGTGAACGGATTTCCTCTGCAGCGCTACCAGGGACTCCAGTTTGTAAGTCTTATTCCTTGGGCACGTATTTGCCCAAGTAAACTCAAGGAGGAAGGAAGGATGCCGGATTAGTCATGGGCTCCTCCACCAAACTGAAATTCATGAGCAGATTTGACCATATGCAGTTTAGATCTGCAGCATCTCCATATATATCAGAGGGCAACAATAAGGGAAAGGAGTCAGGTGCTATTGCCTGCTCTCTGGTCTAGGGAGACACGTGCGTGTGTGTGTGTGTCTTACAGAGCTCCTTGGGCCTCAGACCAATGAGGCGTGCAGCATAGCAGAGATCAATCCCCTTCATGGCAGAGCCATGTCTAGGGCTGCGTTGGGCACAGGTCACCACCCTAGTTTGGACAGGCAAATGTTGAGAGAGGAATAAAAAGATACATTCACATACATATCTCAGAAACCTCCCTTCTGTTTTCCCTTTCCAACACTCCTTCTCATAGTCTGCTCCTGGGCACGTTTGAGAAGCAGATGGCTAGTGAGCAACCCCTGCTCCCTCTATAAAGGGCTGGTTAGCTAGTGACTGTGTCTGGGGGTGTCTTGCATCTTTATTTTTCTCTCTTTTTTTTTCTAGGTTCATTTATCCTTTGTTTACCCGAATGATTACAGCCGCCTGAGCCACATGGAAAAAGACAACAAATGCTTCTATCAGGAAAACCCTTATTACTTGGAAAGGTAAAGCTCTCTTTCCAGTCATGACTGGTGAAATGGCAGCCATGGCAGGATGCTGAGAATGGAATAGCAGGGAGGGAGCAGGCGGGTTTGAGGGTGGAATTAGGGGAAAATTTCATATTCACTTTTTGAGGAACCTTAAAGATCCTCCAAGTCCTGCAGGATGTTAACGCATTTATAGTTTCTTTTGATAGCCAGTGCTCCCTTTAAATGAGAATATGTTTAAGTCTCAAAGGAAAACTGCTGCTGCTGCTTTTCTTGCTCTAATAACCTGAAAGCTGGGTCAGAGCTGCAGCGTATCTTTCCTCAACTACATCAGGGAATGTATTTGTCACAAACTTTGCCTGCCAGCAACTGGAGCCTCCTGATATCTGTCACCATGAAAGCCAAACCACAGTCAGAACTGGGCTTCTTCTCTGGGGGAAGAAATTTGCTGTTTTCCTCTTCCCTGGCGGAGCTGACTCCCAAACATTGCTGTCCGAGGAAACCATCATGTGCATATTTCCTCCCCCTGCCATAGGCAGGCACCTTGTGATAGGACTTCCCTCCATTCAGGAGGGTGTTTTTGAGGAACAAGCAAAGCCATTCTTTTAGTGACTGACAATGGCCTCCTTGTGCTCAAGATCTTCTTCCTTTGCACATCTCTGTTCCAAGGTTTGGAAGATAAAACGTACTGTAGGTCTGGGAGGGAGCATCTGGGATGGGGATTCATAGTGCAAGATGAAGAAGATGGCTGCTGTGGGCTAGAAAGTGCCCCCCGCATTCATTGCTTTGGCAATTAATTTGTATTGCAGCATCATTTGGGAACTAGAAACATTTTTTCTTGGTATTGGGCACACAAGGAGGAAATACTCCTGGGAATTCCCCCAAAGCTGCAGCGCAGGCATGTGATGGCACAACACAGTGACAGTGGTAGCATGAGAGAAGAGGGAGATTATTGCAGTTATCCACTTCAGCCACTTTTACAGTCTGATGCCTTGGGTTTGTGATCATTACATTATATTATAGGTGAGTCCTACACAGTTTAATGGAGGATAAAAGACTGTTTCAGTGTACTTACATTGGGATTTCCTCCTGTGCATATCGGGTGGCACTCAAGAAAATGTCTGGGAGACTGCGGTGATAACGAAAGAGAGAAGACATCTTTAACAGTGCAAAGTAAATCCTGTTGTCCCACAATCTGAAAGATGGTGGTGATGACAGACTGACTTTTGTGGAAAAGAGAAACAAGAGATGATGGATAGATGTAATCTGAGTAATGACCCTCTATAATCACCACCTCTAAAGCAGTAGCTAGAATTTATCTGGAGAGGTCAAAATAACTTTTATGAAACCTATATTTTGTTATTTGCTCTGCAGATTTGGATTCTACAAGTACATGAAACTTGACCAGCCAGAGAAAAGACAGGACTCTGGAGAGAAGAGAGGGCAGCCGGGTAGGGACCCTAACATCAGAGCCTAGAGTATCTTTTTTATCTGTCACTCTTTCTGTGTGATTGTTGATTTGTGACAACTTCTGTGTGAAGTTGTTGACTTCATACTAGGCAAATCACATCCCTTCCTAGTTGTGACTGGGAGGGGAGAAAAAGGCCTCTCTGCATGCTGGATTTCTACATGAAACCTGTTTTTTACTACATGATATACAGGTTTCTACTACTTGCTCATTTTATGATGTGATTCACATACCTCCTAAAAATGTTATATGTAGCCTCGAAATTCCCCTTTTTAATTAGAGGTGAGATTCTTGCTGATTAACTGCTGAGACCTCAAGTTTGGGCAGTTTACTCTAGCTTTTTTCAGCTTCTTCTGTACTCTACCCTCCCAGACTTGGTCCCTCTCTCCCTTCTGCCTGTGTCCCACTTCATTTTTGCTCCCACTTTTCCTTTTCCTAAGGGCGGGATGGAAGGCCACCTAGCAATGGGCCCAGGTGGCCATAGTGGGAGTGCCAAAGGGCAGTGGGCCATGCAACTCCAGCAAAAATGTGGTCAGAAGTGACAAAGCCAACATGCACAGTGTGGCATCCTCCATTTGCACCCGGGGCCAGACCAATAGCTAAAGGTTCAGCCAGACGTCTCCATGGCTTTGGCAGTGCTGGCTCATGGGTGTAGGGGAGCTTAGTACCAGAAACAGCACAGCTTGCATGTCCAAGAGCATCCCTACCTGGGTGAGAGAGAGGATCTGCCCCTCACCCTGCAATGGTGAGCGAGGCAGGACAAGGAAGAGCTCCTTCTGGGTGGGTGGATGTGTGAGGGAACGGGTCAGCAGCTGCACAGAGGGGGCAGCTCGGTGCACGGGGACAGGCAGCATCCCAGGAGGGTTATGAGAGGTGTAACTGTGATTACTCCTGCAGGTTTTCCAGAGGGGAACATGGATGACCTGCAGTACGCAGACCAGGATGTGGAGAGTACGAGCCCTCCCGGGCACCCTGGTGCACGCAGGGCAGAGCTGGCAGGGAACGCTCCCAGCATGATGGCTGGCTATGATAACATTTATGAGGACTATTCCCTCCACAAGCATCGCCGGCTCCTCTCAGTTACGGGCAGCAACTTAGGAGAAGCACTGCAGAGAAAAGGTGCAACGAGGCCTGCCGTAAGAGCAGCCCCACTGGCCTCCAACCAAAGCCTCGGCTGGATGGGCCTGGAGAGGAGCCCACTAATGAAGAAAACCCATTTAAAAGCTAGAGTCAAGGACAACTCTACAAGCCCTCTGCAGCATGCCAGAGCTGCCCACGGGGAAGCACCGGTCAAAAAAAACAAGGGGAAATCTTTTCCTACCGCGTGGCCTCTAAAGGAACAGCCTCTCCGCAGCTCCAAGGACACATCCAGGAGGACTGGTAGAGGCATGAGGCCTCTAGGAGGTCTAAGTGCATCTCAGAGCCAGCTGCAGCCAACAGGCACTGCACGAGCCAGGGAACGAGCCCCCGTCTCCGGCAAAGCAAGCAGGAGCGCAGCGAGCGTGGCCAGGCTCAGCAAGCAGCCGGCTCCACAGGCACCATGGCTGAACCAAGCGGAGTCCCACCCTGCTGAGCAAACGGTGGCCAACAGCAGGGACTTGGGTGAAACAGAGATGCAGGAGGCATCTCCTACAAAATCTGCAGCTATTGAGACAGCAGAGGAAGAGGAGGAGGTAGATGGGGAGCCAGAGGAGGATGAGGATGGGTTTGATTATGTACCAGTGTTTGACCAGGCAGTGAACTGGGAGCAGACCTTCAGCATGAACAACCTGGACTTCCATATGCTGCGCACGGACTGGATTGACCTGAAATGCAACACATCAGGAAATTTGCTGCTAAAAGAGCGAGAGGCCATGGAGGTCACTCGCGTCTTCTTAAAGAAGCTCAACCAAAGGACTAAAGGGTAAGGAGACTAAGGAGCAGTGTCCTGGATCTGGTGTGCTGCCCTGCACAGGGAGCACCTGCAGTGTGAGAAGACACACTACATTAAAGAGGATAAGCTAGAGGTGGAAAACAAAACGTTAGGAGAGGAATCTGTGTAAAAAGCTTGGCTTTAAACACCACTTTGGGCTGAGAAATGTCTGGAGGCTGTCTCCAGATCATGTCTGGAGGCTGGTTATCACCCTGCAACAGCTGCCGGCAGTAAACATTGAAGATGGGATGTTTCAGTTCAGCTGACATCCCTGGTCTTCTGCTGGCTTCCTCCCTGCACAATGTAGTTATTGAGAGGACACAGCAATGGTTTACCAGATGAAGATTAAGAAACTCTGCTGATACAGAATAGGCCTGGAACTCCTATGCCCCTGTGGTTTGATGTCTGTCACATCCCAGTTTGTGAATCTAGCACTATTTAGGACATAGGACCAAAAGGGACCTATCAGACAATGTGGTTCAGTCCCCTGTCCTCAGAAACAACCACCTAGTCCAAACCCTTATCTGAACATAAACACCTTCATCTTAAAACCAGTTAGATTTCTAGACCCTAATGCTCTAGATATTTCAGATTCCCACTGTTCTTATACCCCACCTGATCATGAAATCAGCTTATATGTTGCAATATGGTTCTTTTTCCTCCTAATCCTTATCCTCCTGATTGCCTTTCTAACAAGCAGACATCTCTCCTTCAGACTTCCATAAGACAAACAATTCGACCCTCCTTATCCCTCCTCAAGAGTTTGACCCTGTTTCTGTGATTTTTCGGTTCTTCTCTATACTAGTTTCATTTTAGGTTATTTTTTCTGTATATAAGTAACATTCCAGATGCTTTATAGAATGGTATTATTAATTCTCAGTCACCACTGGAGATAGTTGCCATGATACATCTTAAGATTGCATTTGTTTTTTCAAGGTCACATCAGTCATAGTCACCATTTCAGTAATCAGAACTGTAAGCTTTTCCTAGCATTTACAACTGATAAGCATCCTCTTCCAGGAGAAATTCTTGTCATTACCCCAAAGAACATGACCTGATATTTCATATTATTTTGGCTATTCTGGGCCTACAGTTCCTTACAGTCTTTCTTATATGACTGCTTAGTCCTACTTCTTATTTATAAGCTGCCATCACCTAATTTCACTAGTATCCCCGTCGTACTTCATCTGCCAAGATCATTGAAGGTGTTATTAAATATGCTCACTTATCACCACCCCTACCATATTACAGATGCATTTGTTACTTTCTGTGTCACCTTTACTTCATTCTTGCCACCAGCTGTTCTGTATTCTGGAATCCCAAATTGAATCCCACATGCTTGTGTGTTTAGGGAGCAGTTATAAACCTTCCAATGGGTATTTTGAAACAGTGCAGCAAACCAGGATGCTGGAGACCAAAAGGCTTGTACCTGCCTAAGAGGAAAGAGCTTGGAAATGAACGGGGCAGGGCGGAGGAGATAGAGGTGCTGGTGGGTGGGGAAGATGCCTACCCTAACTCTATCTCCTGCAGGCAATTCCAGCTGCAGCGTATTGTGAACGTGGAGAAACGCCAGGACCGCATGCGGGGGAGCCGCTACCTGCTGGAGCTGGAGCTGCTGGAGCGAGGAGAGCGGCTTGTCCGGTTCTCGGAGTACATCTTTGCACGGGGCTGGCAAGGCGTCAGCGGGGACGAGCAGGAGGAGAGGACCATGAGGAGCCTAGCGTGGGGTCGCCAGCGGCACCTGATGGCTGTAGCTAACGAGCCAGAGTTGTGCTGGCCCCAGGGCTTCACCTGGAACCACCGGGCTGTGGTTCACTTCGTCGTGCCAGGTAAGGGCCACCTGCCTCTCTGGGAAGATGGGCACATGGAGAGAAAACACTCCTGGGGCTTCACTTGGAGGCAGCCCATTGGGTCAGCCTGAACTACCTCCTTAGGGTCTCTCAATTTCCTTTCTCTTCAAGTTAAATCCTCTAAGAAATATGACGGGGCGAGAACACTGGTTTCTGTGCAGTTTGGTTCAGGTTTTCAGCAAAGGGCTGTTCCAGTGTCCCTCCAAGGTTATCAGGGCTTGGGAGGGGTCAAGAAGCCTTACCTGTTTAGAAGCCATGACATCTTTGAAATCAGTTTTGCTTTGATTCTCTCCCTCTTGCAATACAACCAGTGAAAAACCAAGCACGCTGGGTGCTGCAGTTCATTTCTGACATGGAAGAACTGGTCAGAGTCACTAAGGATCCGTACTTCAATGTCATCATAACAGACTACAGCAGCAATGACATGGATGTAGAAAAGGCTCTGAAAAGGTCCAGCTTACGCAGGTGAGAATGCTGCCTAGTCTATAAAACTACTCACATGCATATGCCTGCAAACACCACAAACCTGCAAGATGTGTATTGATCCACAGCCTTCTACAGACGTAAACCCAAAATGACATCCATCCAGACCATGCACATATACATGCGTATAATGTTATAATGTACACGTATGTACACTGCCTATAATGTTACAAAGTAATATTTAGGTCACATCTCTAATCCCCTAGCTTTCGTTCAAGTTTGTTAGAGGACATAAAGCAAATCTGACGGGGATGGGACAGGGGGAGGACAGAGAAGACAAGAAAGTATTGAGAACATGACAGAAAGCATGGAGAGCTCTGGGGGCTTCACTTGCTGGAACAGATGTCTAGCTTGCTGTGCACTGACCCGAATCAACCCTGGGCAGTCATTTCCTTTATGTGCTAGAAGTTCCTAGCAAAATCTCTAGTCCAAGGCCCTAGAATAGAGTTGAAAAGCCTTTTGCTAAGGATTACCTCATCCTTGCTGTATTAATGAGAAGATGCTTATAGCACCCTGGAGCCCCATTCTACCACACCGGGCTCTGAAGGAACCCTGAGTTCACATGCTCACACAAGAGGTGCAGAAGTGCTACAAGTGCAGTAGTGATGAGACTTTAGGCACGGGGGCTGCCGGAGGTGCACCACCATTAATAGCACTTTTTGTGCTCGTCGCTGTGTGTACGTTGAACTTCACCTCTTTCCTTTCTGACCAACAGCTATCGGTACCTGAAGCTGACAGGGAATTTTGAGCGTTCTGCTGGCTTGCAGGCAGGGATAGACCTTGTGAAGGTAAGCTTGTGGGGCTGAGGGTGTGTAGGAAGATATCTGCTACAGTTCTTGCACTCCCTCTTGTCCTTCATACTGCACACATTTTTTAGGAAAAGGAATAGCCCAACAGAACAGATCAGACATAGATATGTTTCCCATCCACTCTGGCCCAGCAAGAGTCCTTGCCCATTACTCTGAGGAGACTAGTCTCTATGGTCTGTCAAGTTCTTGGCCTACCTCCTTGGACTATCAAACAGGAGGGAAATCAGTACTAGCAGCTTTAACATACTGATTCTGTCTGATCATAGTCGCTCATATTTGTCATTGAGCAGCTGCTGGCTGATTTGCTTTTGCCCTGTGCAGCGGTGGGAACATGGCAACTGTAGCATCATTAAGAGTATTTAGCTGCTTGAACACAGATGATAGCAGCTGAAAACTTCATAATCCAGTGTCCAGCATTAGCATGGGACATCTAGGGGAGAGATTAAGGGGCAAGGTCTGCCCCCATCTCTACTGGCTTCTGCTACAGCATAGGTGAGCTCTGTGTGACTGATTCTGGTGTGATCATTTCCAGGACCCACACAGCATCATTTTCCTGTGCGACCTCCACATCCACTTTCCAGCTGGGATCATTGATTCAATTCGGAAGCACTGTGTAGAAGGCAAGATGGCATTTGCACCCATGGTCATGAGGTTGCATTGTGGCATGTCTCCACAACGGCCTGATGGTAAGAGAGTGGAGTCTGAAACGTTGTGTAATGATGGAGGGTGCTTGAGACCTGATTTAACATCTAAACGTGTTCTTCCATCACTAGACAGTTCATACCTCAAGGTACTGTGAAGGCCACTAGATGACAGTACATTATAGGATGTAGAATGAGGTTTAATTGTGACAGGTACTTGAAATTTGAGATTAAAGAGCCAGAAGAGCCAAGCTTGTGGCATTTCTCCTGATTGTCTTTTAGATTGGAGTTCCTTAGGAAATAACTCCTTTCCTCCTTTCTGCCAGTTTATCTGCCCTCACCCCAGCTCCATGGTCTCTGCTTTTCCTGCCTCCACTATAGCAAACCTCTCCAGAGCACAATCTCCACTGTTCTTTTAACTAACCCTTAGTTGGAAACTAATCTTGGAAACTAATCGTTTCCAAGATTGCCTTGGACCTGATGGAAAAGTTTGCAGCTAAGGACACCGGCTGGGGTCTTCTCCCTCTTTAACAATCTCCACTGTTCTTTTAACTAACCCAAAGATGATCATTTCCAAGATTTCCTTGGACCTGATGGAGAAGTTTGCAGCTAAGGACAGCATCTGAGGTCTTCTCCCTCTTTAGAGTGCATAGCCTGTCCTCCTGAGGAGGCCTGATAGCCCAGGGTGAGGGAAAGCAGACCCAGAAGAAGAGGAAAGCAGCACAGATCATCTAAGCATAGGATTTCCTTTAGACAGAAGTGGCCATCCTGAGCCCCTGTGGAAGCAAATTTCCCATATAAAAATGTTCTTTTGTCTAGACAGAGAGACAATTTGGGACAGTCCAGGTAACTTGGATACAGTGCTGCAGGTTTAGAAAGCCATCTGTACCATCTGTCTTTAAGCCTTTCTCACTTCCCAAAGCTTTAATATGGTTGCCTCTATTTTAGTGCTGAGTTGTCTCTCAGGTGTCTGGATTGTTTTCATCACCCGAGGTGTTAGGAGTAGCTCGAGTGTCGCTCCGGTAATTTTGTTCAAAAGTAAGGTTATTGCTAGCTGCCGCAGGAGCAGATGTGCTGCAACCCTGTACCAACATGCCTGTGCTTCTGTTGTGCTCTCCTCAGGCTACTGGGAGGTGAATGGGTTTGGTCTCCTGGGCATATACAAGTCTGACCTGGACAAGATCGGAGGGATGAACACGAAAGAGTTTCGGGACCGGTGGGGAGGAGAGGACTGGGAACTCCTGGACAGGTAGGTCTTCATTTTTGGCTTGTGATAACCATGTTCTCCGGAGGGGAGACCCGTGAAATCCTGGAATAGCAAGGATGAGGGGAACAGGATCTGAGGCAATGAAGGTGGTTAATACCATCATAAACTTGGTCAGTGAAGAAGAATCTTTGAGCATATTTTGATCCTTAAAAGCAGTAGATGTACCCAAAATACGCTTGTGTCTGGCCACAGGCAGATCAGACACAAGCGACTGTGGACATAAAAAACTCTTTGAGTGGTTTATACCACTCTATGTCTAGTTTAAGTACCTCAGCCTTCCCATGTTGTCCCATATAGTAATTGCCCAGAAGGGCAAGTTTCAGAGAGATATTTAAGAATCACTTTCAGAAACGCGTATGGGTGTCCCTTTCCCACATTTCTGCACACCAGATGAGTCTTTTCCTGCTGTACCAATTCTAGGTCTCAACAGCTTGGGATTTTGATCTCTGTCCCGTGTTTTCTGTTAGTTCACTGGGAAAAGGGCTTCCATCGTAAGCATTTCCATGTTGCTAGTTGTCCTTCCTCCGAGCAAGGCTGTCTCTACTTCTAATCAGTCCTTCTCAGTCATCCTGCACTCTGAACAGTGTATAAAAAAGTCAGTGTATGTCTTTTTATGGAATATGAGATACTCTGAGTTATTGAGCTCTTGAATTTGCTTGCCATCTCCTGACAACAGGAGGTTAAACAATAGCAGTTTAAACAGCAGTTTAACAAGATCTCCTGGACCCAAACACCCTGATATCTTTATGACCAGGATTTCCCTAAACTGATCCTTCTTCTCCTTCTGCTAGGATTTTACAGGCTGGGCTGGAAGTGGAGCGTCTCTCCCTGAGGAACTTTTTCCATTGGTTTCACTCAAAGCGGGGCATGTGGAACCGACGCCAGCTGAAGACATCGTAGCCTTGAACCCCAAGGCTGCCTGTCAGAGTCATCCACCTTCTGACCCCAGCAAGCACTTTATTGAGGTGTGCAGCTGAGTGTGCATCCTCTTCCCTCCAGAGCCCTCCTGTGAGACAGCACAGCCATGGAAGGGACAGCCAGATGAGAGGAGCAAGAATCTCTCTTGGGAGCTGTTGCGTCCAAGATGTGGGTTCCTTGTCTTGCTGGGGAGGTTTGTGCGGGAGCTTTAGGCCAGTGAAGGATTTGTGAGGGATTTGTATTTCCTGCTATGCAGGCTGGTGGATGGCACAGTAAAAGAGGTGCCATATTTCCTGTTGTGTCTTGCATGGTGCAAAACAAAAAGGAAAAAAATCCCAGCTAAACCCAGAATGGATTGTTTACAGCAATGCAGCTTGTTTTTCAATACTTGAAGAAAAAAATAGAAAAAAAGCAAAATACAAACACACACACACAGAGGCTCTCTCCACGCTTTTGAACAGGGGACCAAAATAAGCTCTCTGGACTGTATTGTGTCCATACAGCGATGTACTGACCCAACCAAGTCTGGACAAGGAGGAACTGATAGGCACTTTAGGCTGTCCATGCTTAGACATTTCTCTGTGCTTTTCAATTCTATCATTAGGAAAAAAACATGCTCACATTCAGTGAGGTGTGGGCTATGGATGGAGACTGAAGTATGCCTCTTATGAAGGTCGCTTTTTCCTCCAGCTGGGCAATGTGGCAGGGTTTGATGTTACAACTCAACCTGAATTATTTATCTGTTGCTTGAGGCTAGTGGAGAGGTTATGTAGAGGATCTTGGAGGACACCTCAGGAGGAACTTAGCAGCCTTATCTGACAGACATGTCTGTTTGTCCTAATGATATCAGGGAAACCCTAGCAGGGAAGAAGTGGCAATATTTTATTAGTTTAAAATTGTGAGTTTGTTAGAAAAAAAAAAGAGTATTCTGCTCTCTAAATCCTGTACATTTATGCAGCATTTGAAGGTTAATTTAATAAGTTATGGCTTCACAGTTATGTCCTGTCATAGTTTGACTTTTACGTAAAGAGCAGGCTTGTTTATATTGAAGAACAGGCACTTATTGGTTCTTCGTTTCTGGAACAGTCCTGGGAGCTCTGGCCTGGTACTGAGGAGGTATTTTCAGGACTTGGCACTTGCACTGGGAGCAGAGGAGCAATGAGGATAGGAGAGGGCTGAGTGAATAAAAGGATGGGCTGACTGATGCCAGCACTGATAAAAGAACTGTAAAGAGACTCAGCTCACAGTCAGCTGATTCTAGGGTGAATTTTCAGGCCCTGAAACCCCTGCCCATGCAAGGCAAGAGTTTTTACTCCCAGTATCCATTTAACAGGACTGCAGAATCACAGGGATCTGCAGCGCAGTTGGTGGTTTGCACTGGAGCTTCAGTTTCCCCTAATCATCCTGAAAAAGCTACTACTGATATCAAGCATCAGGAAGAGTATGACATAGGGTGCTGCTCATGGCTCTGAGCTCAGATGGGAGTAATTGAAGAGCAAGTAATAATGGTCTATAAGATACAAGCAGTGTGGACTTGGTACTAGAATTGTTTGCTTTTACACTGATGGAGTGGATGCCAATTCAAAATAGGTTTTTATTTATTATTAATTCTGTGATGCTTGACAAGTTCATCAAGTCCCATTATTGCAGGTAGAAAATTGAACATGTAGATTTCGGAGTATAAATCCCGTCAAATCATCCAGTGGCATCAGTGGGAGTTCTGTGGCTGACAGAGTCAGATTTGAAAAAACTATAGTGTGTAGACATGGTGAAAAGTGCACGAGAAACTAATGTATCTCTTATTCATGAAGCCTTTGTCAGACAGAATTTAGACACTGAATAGCTCAGAAGTGGCAGTCAGCTTTCTGCTCAAATCAGCAGTCTTTTCAATGAGGGAAGGGAGTTTTCACAGGCAGAGACTTAAGAAATGAAATGCTGCAGTTCTGGAGTGGGGAAAGAGCCTGGCAACTGGCAACTTTCTTCTTTTTTCTCTCTTTATGCAATACTGGCGTTTAAGGGGCCAGGTCTGTGATGCACTGTCGCAACAAGCTGTTTCTGCGTGGCATGTGCAGTATCAGCCGCCCGCCGGGTGCGTGTCGGAGCCTGTGCTTTGCTCACCGACACGGGCACAACCCCACGACTAACCAAGCAGCTCTTTCGCCAGACTGGGGCTGCAACTTTCACAGCTTGTCTGGACGGGCTCTTGTCAGGCAATGCCTGTGGGATGGGAATAGGCTGGTGGAGAAGACAAGCAGCAGGGAAGCTGGGAGTTATGAGCAGTGCCTGCCTTCGTTGGTACGAGTCACTCTTCCTCACCAGAGAGGATAATCAGCAAAGAGGAGGCTAGGAAATAGGGTACAGCCCTCACCACCCGCAGAATTTGAGGACTTCGCTGCCATGCTTTAGCGATCCAGGAGACTTTGTCCCTTCCTTCATGCCTTTTCACCCAAACCAGTAGTGAACAGAAGTGTTTACCTCATGAGGGCTCCTTGGTGGACATGAAAGGAGTTACTGGGTCGCAGGCCAGTTTCCTGGGGGCCAGTATCCCAGCCGTAGGGTCGTCCATTACAGTTGTTCCTCTGTCCCTAGCACAATGGGGCCCCCTTCTTCATCAGCCTTTACACATTGGCATTGAAAAGTTGATTCATACTAATTGGCACTAGTTGGCAGCCCCTACGAAGGAGCTTGGAGAGAGCCCAGGGGGACAGACCTTGTCTTCCCGCTCAGGCTGCCGCGGCTGTAAAATAAGAGTGAGCTACACGCTCCACCACTTGCAGGCCGGCCGGCAATCTTGCAAAAGCTCTGCTGGGCTTTGCCCTGGGGCTGCTGACCCTTTTTTTTTTTTTTTTTTTTTGGGTCTCCCCCATGCAAAGTTATGAAAAGGACCTCAGGAAGCTGCACAATTCCCAAAGAGCTAGAGGGAAACTGGCTTTACCAAAGCAGGGAAGCTGACTTCCCTGGAAAGTTAGTCTTGTTTCCATCATAGGGATTTCTTAGGAAGTTTTACTTCAGTTGGCAGTGAAGTTTACCCTTCATGTGCATCCTGGCTGTGTCCTGACTCGATGGAAGGAGGAAACTTGTTTGCACGTGCTATCTTCTGTCAGGCACACAGACTGGGAGGGAGCTGCTCCAGTGGGTCACAGGATGGGAACAGCTGGGGAAGTGAAGGGGCTCGCTGCAGAACAGGCATTCTCTGTAACGAGGACACGGGCCAGGATGTGGACCCTGGCCCCAGAGGTGTGGAGTGCACTGAAAAGTGGCTCTGCCCACCAGTGCTGACACTATCACCAGAACATTTTCATTCCTGAATGAATTATTGGCCAGAGGTTTATTTGCAGCCCAGCAAAAGGAATGAAGAAGGACTCGGTTTTATTACAAAAGAAATGTATTGTGTGAAAATAATGTGACTTGTTTTGTCATTGTCTTTAATGTTTTTCTGGTATGAATATCTTACTGCCTGCTCATGGCTTGTAAATGTCTACGTTGTTCGGTTTTTAGATACCAATGCCTTGTGTTAAAAATCTGGATTGTACCTTTGGATTCTCTGCCTTAAAGTGGCCCTGTGTCTTCAAGAAGACTCCTGGCCACATCTCTGTTGAAATCAGGGGATATTCTGGTTCTCCCCCATGTTTTATAAATACATTGTCTTCCTACAAGAGCTCGCTTCTCTCCATGTGTTGCTCATACACCTGCCCTACACATCCCTACACAGAAATCAGATGTTCCCTCTCTTGTCTCATATAATTAAGGTTGCAATTAATACCACAGAGATAAGTCAGTGTCTGCCCAAGCTCTTCAGAGCTCTGCAGGTGCTGAAGGAACAGGCAGGACAGGGAGCCATGGTAAGCACAGTCAGCCAGGGGCAGGACTTGTCTTAGTCTCCTTTCAGTAAGGGGCTGTAGAGAATGGGATGGTAATAAACAGACTTTTTCCTATCTCCCTGGGACTTATCATGTGGAACAGGATAGAAATTCTGGATAAATATATGTCCTAGCAAAGTAGGAGTGCTGTATGATGCAGGAGAAGGCCTACAGAAAATGAAGCCATCTCACTCACAAACAGGGGCCAATTCATGAATAGAGACTGCAGTGAAAGCCTGGACCTGAGCTCCGTGCTTGGTACACATGTGGGAGGTAAGATCTTTAACAGCAAAAGCTTACTTAGGTGAAAATTGTGTCCCGTTTTCCTGTCAGCCCTGCCTCCCTTGAATATGAACAGCTTGGCCTAAATAGGGGTCAGGTACAGAGAGGCAAAAGGCAGCCAAGATGGCTAAAGAATCTGATTCCTTTGAAATGAGAAATGAGGAAGAGCACTCGAGTGCACTGCTGGCTTGTTGCTTCCCTGAGATGGATGTCAGGAAGCCCGCTCGGCTCCGGCCTTACATACTGCAGTACCTCATTTGGCAGCTCTGATATTGGTGTTACTTTAAATAAACACAGTTAGGCCAGTAGTGGCTGCAAGCCCTGGACTGATGGTTTTCCACGGGCTGCAAACAGTTTTGTTGCCTCTACAGTGAAGCTTCGTCCTGGAGGACCACAGGAGTATTGAGGCTTCCCAGAAACATTACTCCCACACTGCTGTTGGTCAGGGGAGTGGTGGTCACATCTTAGCACCTGATTCACCAAACAGGCTTAGATTCTGCTCAACTTTGCTAATTAAAATTGCAGTACATATAGAATGCCTCTTTTGCAGTCTACTTTTTCTACGCACCTTTTTGCCACTGTGGCTTGAGGGTAGGATCTGATATTAGCCTTAAAAACTTGCCCATAAGCCACAAGATCATTCACAAAGTCATCCAGACAAAGTCACCACTTGTGACTTAAACAGAAATTTAATTCTGAAAAGCCAGATATAGAGGAAACAGAATCTGCTCACATCTGTTTTTTAGCAGTGTCAGTCACTCCCATTAGCTCTTGAAGAATAATACGCACATAACTTTATGAGATTTCTCTCTTAGTGACTGAAAGAGTATGCAAAAAGATGTTATCCATATTGAACACTGATCCGGTCATTGAAAAATCATTTAATAACCAGAAGAGCATGTAATTATTTAAATATGCTTATAACACAGTATTAAAAATACAGTTTTTCAACATAACTACAAAATTCTGATTTGGGAACCAAAATTTTCCAAAGAACTTAAAATACATGGATTCTAACAGATTTTTTTTCTAGTACAACAGAATTCCCAACACTTTCAATATAAAAATTACATATTTTAAAATATTTATATTAATGATAGCCTCTTAAATTATAATGCTGATTTTTTTTATAAAATGATGCATTATGCATCTTCCATTTCTCAGTGTGGTAGTTAGCCTAAGGTGTCTCCCTATGTAAAATGAATTTCTTTTTCTTTTTTTAATCCTAAATATTATCAAACTACTCAGACAGTATTCCTAAGAGAACTCTGATGATGGCATCAGAACATAGTATCTATTTTCTGTCATAGTTCATTTTCCAGTGCTGGAAAGATCTGATTGTTTTCTTAAGTGTTTCCCATTTAATTTTATTTTTAAACAGCTAGGAAAACATTTGAACTCCTTTTAGCTGTGTTGACATACACACACTTTTTTATCCTCCCGTGAGAACTTTTTTTTTAGTTTGAAAAAATCCACTCTTACATTAGGAATATAAAGTATTAGATAGCATAGCTTTAAATATAGCAAATTATGCATGAGACAGAAAAGCTGGACATTTTTTGTTTACTTAGCCTATCAAATAAATTGTTTGAGTTTCTCTACAAAATAAGGTAGTTTTGCATATGAGAAGCAGACAACTAAAATAAGAGAAAAGATTTCCAGAACTGTGCTTTGAAATTCCGTACCTGCTGCTCTTTCTACATCTCTCACTAGAAATCACTGCAAGTTGGCTCTACCTTTGAAAAGGAATGTAAGTTTTCACCCCCTGCAGAAGCGCAAAAGGGCCTGTATACAACAAAACACATAGAATTTTGAAAATTTAACCCACTTCTCTGGATTCCTTGTGAAGACTAGATCCTGCTGAGGTCAATAAAAATATAGAGGAGAGCTTTCCGGCATCAGTCGCTCTGCCCATACCCTGCAGGGAAGACAAAAGATGCCTGGTAAGTACAGGGTAGTAGCACAGGCGGGTAAGAATATGCAGAGGGTACCCGGATCTTCCAGCACTGATGCCGTGGCACTGAGCGCTGACTAGAACTAGGCCAGTGCTGCTGCTTTTCACAGGGGCTTCAGGCCTTTGGATTGTGTTTACCTGTGGCAGGTCAAGTAAGGAAGAGATAATGACCTTGACCTAAAAGCCCTATGGACCCAAGAATGTGCTGTTTCCTCATCTGTGAAGCCAAGCAGTCAGCTAGGCTCTCACACACAAGACTCACTGGAAAATTAAGAGTTAGATTTGTAACCAGCCACCACCAAACCGCATAGGCCATTGTGAAGAGCTCTTTCACCCACTGCATTCCCAGCACCTTATTTTCCTTCTGCTCAGATAACATTGCCATCTTGGTCTGTCTCCCACAACTCAGCCATTTTTCTTTCCAAAATTTAACTCCCAACTGCTAAGGTCGGATTTGCCATCTACTGAAAACTCCTTGCTACTGACTAATCCCAGACATAGAGAGTGGTTTGGTGATGCAGCTACAAAGACCAAGCAAGGTCTCCTTCTCTACAGGAGTTTGTTCAATAGCTCTTGGATGCTGTTGGGACGCCAATATTCCTCCACAAAGTCTTTGCTTATTTGTGTAGCAGTCTTCCACTTCTCACCTTGCAGTGATGTTTTCTGAGACTGACAGCCCCTGAAAGGGCAGGCAATGATGGGAACTGACTCTTTCCTTACCTGACTCTCTTGTCCCAACACTTAATAGGGTCCCCTATAATTCCTTGTAGGGTAGAGGCCAGTCTTCTGCACTCCAAAGGCCGTGATGAAGATGTTGAGGATGACTGTGATGAAGATCAGAGCTGTGGCAGCATTGTTGAGGACATCCAGGCGGGGTTGCTTTGTGACATCGTTCAGATTCAGACGAGCTGTGTGATACAATGCAGAAACAAACTGAGATTTGTACTTCAGCTCTATATCAAAATTACAGGGATTCAGAAGTCTCCAGCCTCTGGGAGCCTTCACTGCTTGCAAACTCAAGGGGGCAAGTTGCCTCTGGGCACCACAGCCACAGAGCTGGGGGAATGGTCTCAGTATCTTTACAGTCACAGTAGCTTGCCCTGAGACAGGTAAAAAGATAGAGCAGATGTCATGTGTGTCTTCTTTTGCAGTGTGGGTGCCAAGGCCATTTAATGGGCTGGTCCTAAATAACCAAGTTACTGCTGCATGGTAGCAGAGCAGATGGCTCCTTGTTCTCCATCCCACCTCCTGGCTGCCCAAACATCAGAGCCAGCTGCTTTGCATCCTGTGAGGGTACCCGGGAGGTAGGACATTGCCTTACCAGTGATGATGAGGAGAATCCCAATGAGCACCTGGAAGAAGAGAGAGATGCTGATGAGCACGATCAGGGTGATGTAGTACTGAAAGGAGGTCCCCTGCTCCAGCACTGCTTTGAGCTGAGTGACGTTGGCCATGAAGAGCGCCACATCCAGCATGCTCTCTGCCACGCTCTTCTTCGTTGCGTAGTGGTTGATGTTCATCGGACCATTAATCCTGAGATGGGGATTCAAGCCCTGGGGGGACAAAGTAACAGCATTACTGGTCTCATTCCTAAGACGACAGGCCTGTCCATACGGGGTGGACTGCTGTCTCATCACAGTGCTTATCTGCAAAGACAGGGGAAAAGGCAAAGCCATATGTTTTAAAAATGTCAAAAGCACGCAGGGTTGCCTCACACTTGCCTCATGGTATTAATAGGCAAAAGAGCTCTGCAAGGTTAGAAAAATACTGGGTATTTTTATGAATAACAAGCTGTCCAGAGTTATGATAGCATAGATTAACTCAAGCTAGGGATTTTAGAAGGAATATTAAATTCTCTTCCTTGAGGGCACAGACAAGCCTCAAACTTAGGGGGATTAGAGAGAGCTATTCCCTTTTGGGCAGGGTGTTCAAAGAACTGCCAGTGCTGGGATTTATATCTTATCTGAACACTTTTTTTTGCTGACTACTGTTTTCGACAAGGTGCTAGAGCAGATGTTACAATCCTCATTCTCCTGTTTCTGAAACTAAGGACACTACGTCTTGAAAATGTCAGGCACTGGAAAGTATGGATACAAAGGGTAGGATTCATCACACTTTAGCTAATCATTCAGATAGGAGGGTTTTTTGCCAGTATAGAGGACCAGGTATTTACCAGGTGCAGGTAATCTGGCTGCTTTTAACTTAATTTCAAGGGGTTGATTATCTGGCTGCTTTCAGCCATCACCTTCCCTTTAACACTTCTGTTAGCTGAGTTCTGCTAGATGTCTGCTAGATGTCCCATATGACAAAAAAAAAGAGAAGGTGATAGAAAGGAGGCAATTGATTTTAATTCACCTAGAGTATCATCACCTGCTAAGAAACTACCATCGAGGAGGAGAACTGCAAAAGATCTGGATTTATCTGCAGTAAGCTCCTGAAAGCAGCACTCTGAGTCTCTCAGATGGTGAGTCTTGCTTTTATCCTAGGTAAAGTGCAAAGTATAATCTTTCCTCCATTTTCCAGGAAGAGCAATAGAGTGAAATTACTGCCAGTAATTCATGTTGCTGCACTCTGGCCTCTTGATGCATCCCTGGGGAGCAAGGCCTTTTTCTGAGTGGGATGGGAAGGTGAGCATAGGCAGTGAACCTGTGAGAGTGCTGTCTGTGTGCCCGGCTCTGAAATAGGGGTGCTATTTTTGAAGGGAGCTCAGGCCAACCATCAGCTCATGTGAAAAAAATCACCTAGCAGGCAGAGGGTAGGAAGAATTGTATTCAGTTTGAAATATTGATGAACTGTGATTCCCTAAGAAGAGGTCCGCTCAAGGTGGGAAAGTATTTTGGGGGATTTTTTTTTTTGATAGTTAAAAGCATGTAATTCAGTAAAGTAACTGCGGTTAAGAGGCTCCTCTGCAGAGCTTGTATTTCTTCCTATTGAAGGAAGAAGCTAGAGAATCCTGGATGGAGATAAAAGTAGAAGTCTAGAGGGTCTGTAAGGACTTCGAGGTAGTCTGTAGGGTTTCAGGACTTCTTAAGCATTACACTGGTGTCTAAGGCAGCCGAACAGAGATATCTCACATCTCAGAGAAAGGAGGTCGGCAAAAGGTCTGAGCCTCGGAACATGTTCTGATCTCCTAGATTAGGCACTATTGGCTTTCAGCTATCTCAAAAGTGCATGTGCCTGTTGCAACAGAGTGGTGCAGGGTTTAGTATTTGATCCTTTTCATGTGCTTTCTTCTTTGCTCCTGCCGTCATCCCTCCCTGCTGCAGAGGTACAAGGCTGGGCACTGACAGCTCATCTGGGGGCGATGATGAGCTCGGGCTGGGAGAACAACAAAGCTGAACAAAGGTGACAGCTTGGGGCAAACGAGTGCCTGGCACGAGGAGGCTGAGCCATCTGCTCCTAGTCATTTACAAGGGGATGAATAAGGCAAGTCAGGAGCTCTTTTTTTTGAGTGAAAACCCTTTCTTCAAGCTGCCCCTCAAGCTCCTTGACCTCTAGTGGGAAATGGGTTGGCCAAACATGGGGCAGGGTTAAAATGTACTAAGCTCCAAGTATCAGATAAACAGGCAACAAAAACAGGTAGCTTTCACATGCATTTTTCCCCACATGTGGGTCAAAGCAATGGCATGTTTTGGAGCGTGGAGCAGGAGATCACAGACACGAAAGGCCACTGCTGTCTGAAGTAGAGTCATGGGCTTGAGGAAATCCTTGCATAGTGCAGCGGAAAACTGGGCAATCCTTCTGGCGGGGTTGGCCCAAAAAGGTGGCCAAAAGGCCACCCATATGACTAAAGCTGGCCGCTGAGCTTACATTTGCACAGCCAGCCCACGAGGCTCTCTGTGGAAGGGCTTCCCGTGCAGTAAGGGCCTTGCAGAAGTCCTGCTGATTCATCTGCTGCTGAAGTCAGAGTGACCTGGCTCCTCTGCGGATCCTTTTGCAGAATAATCTCCCTAGTCCAGCAAACCTGGAGCCTCAAATAACAAGAGGCTTAAGAAAACCAGCAGCCTTCAGAGACATGGCCTTTTTTTGATAACTCCATAGGCTGGCTTTGCTTGGGATGCCTGGTGCCACTGCTGTCAGCAGCTCCCCACGCCATCTGTGGCATATGAGTTGGATGCTTGTGACCCTTATCATTTTTTTTTTAAAACTGCCACAGCTCTTCGAACTGAACCATTGCTGCTTTGGCTCTGTCTGAGTGGAGCCCTGTGAAGTGCAGAGGTTCAGAAGCTGATTCACAAGCAACTCGGGTTTCCCTGCAGCTGGAGAGCAGGGAAGTGGGGGAGGTTACGTGGGATAGCTGGTGAGATGAAGTGATTCCCTTCTGGCAATCATAGCCCTGGGTTAAATCACAGGACATGTTTTAAGGTTTATCAATGTGCTTTATATCCTTGGGCTAAATCTGGTGTCCTTCTAGTCACTTAGAAAGCCTTTCCCCTTCTGAGAGTGGGGGAGTTCTGCCTTTCCCCCTTTAGAGCTGGTCCAAGAGGAAAACTTGCTATCACACAGTGAGTCTGGGTGAGCGCTGTCTCAGGGCCAGCAAACGTTGACTGCCAAAGAGCAGCTGCCACGGTGCAGCAATTCCCCAAGGATGGGAGGTTATTATAATAATATCCCCTCCTTTAAGGGAATGGAGGTTAGGACACGGAGAAGTAAAGGCTGGTCACACGGCTCTGGCTGAGCTGCTGCTAGAACTTGGCTCTCGCATCCTGTTGCGGGTGTTTTGCCTTTCCCTGTTACGCAGCCTTCTTGCCATACAAAAGCTGATGGCTTCAGCCTGACCCCAGGCAAATCTCTTTGTGCGCTTTTTGCATAAGCGTGCTGCAGTGAAGCACACTGCTAGAGAGGGCTCAGCGAGGCTCTCCTTCGGGTTTCGTAATCGTAGGCTTTATATTCACTCGAAGCAAAAAAAAAAAAAAAAATCCCTCTGCATCAATTTCCACCTCTACTGTTATTTTTAATTTTCGTAGGAATTACTATAGAAAGAAGGCAGAACATCACAAGTGTGGGGGTGGGTATTTTAATGTGATCTCTATTTCTGCTCTATGGAGCTGTCAAATCACAGGGCTGTGAAGCCTTACTTTAGCACCAGAGGGCATGCTGAGCTCCCCAGCTGCTGAGTGCTGCATTGCTAGTGAAAACTACCTGAAAATTTTCCACTGAAACTAAGCTTCAAGGGAAATTCTTTCTTCTTTCTTTATATATATATTTTTTTATTTTATTTTTTTTTTGCAACACCTTTCCTCTGAAGAGTTTTGGAGGCAGTTCATTAAAATATTTCTTTCCAAAGTTCTCAGGCCTTTAGGTCTAAAGCTTTCTCAAAGTTGCTTACACAATTTCTATAAAAACTTCCAGTTTTTCTTGCATTTTTCGAGGCAGGGGGGGAGAAAGAAAATGGAGAGCAGATCTAATCTCAAATCTGTGTGCTTTGTGGTTTTTTGTGACCCTCTCCTCAGGGGAGAACAGACTGAAAGAGACACCAGGACAGCATGAGATTCAGAAGTATGAGAATGATAATCCTCTTCATGGGAGCGCTCTGGCAGAAGGGGATGTCTGAGGAGAAACTATATTATTTGGCAATTAGTTCCAAGGGAAATGCTGAAGGATGCCAAGGAAAACAGACATGAATGCAGGCCGTGCACAGAGAGGGGTAGGTGCGGAGCCGCGCGCCGCGGGGAGCGCAGCCGATAAACAGCCGCGCGTAGGCGAGCGCACTCAGACGTGCACGCAGCCCATCAGGCGCTGGGGGAAATCTGGGGGGTATTTTTCCATGGTATTTGCCAGTTGGCAGCTTTAGGAGGACTGTCTAAACCTCAGTTGGTGAGGGTTAAAGCACACAGAAACTCGTCTTGTGAGGTAGGAGGGGAGCCTGGTTCCCTTCCCATAGGCTGGGCGCAGAGATTAAAGGCCCTGCTCTCAATCAATACTTCTACTTTTAAGCTCCCACTCATTAGCTGTTCTGCTTATCACTGCAGTTCCTGACTTCTACAGCTGGAATGAATGGAGCAACTTTAATATTTTTTGGCCTTTAATATTTTGGGGACATAAGGAGAATACTTTGGCCAATGCCATGTGGAGCATAAACTCTTTGAGGCAAAGAGAATTTGTGTGTGTGTTTTTTCCCTCTCTTCCAGTGCAACATGGCAACAAGCATCCTGGCTGCCTTCCACAAACAGGGGTAATCCTACACCCTGCCATGGGGGCTGTAGCAAAGGAAAGCTGAGTGTTCGGGCCTGTCCCCCCGACTCTTTGGCCTCTGCTGAGGCTGCCAGCTAGTCCAGTTGTTGTGGTTAGGCTATTTTTTTTAATACAGCCAGCTGTTCTGCTCATCAGGGGCTCCATCCAGAGCCAAATGGTTACATTGACTTCAACTTCAATTGGATAAAGCCCAGAAAACAAGTTGGGAATGCTTTCCGTGTCTTGGGCTCTCCCCACACCTGGGAGTGGTCCTCATCAAGGTATTTCTCTGATAAGATCTTACCGTTCTGCAAGAGGGAAGTGGAGAATTGTCACTGCTTTGTTAAGGGGGCTTGTTGATGCCAGCTGCTTGGAAGAG